TGCAAGATTTCCTCCATCAACCGTAGGGAGACCATAGTTTCTACCCCATCATCACTTAAAGTAGCAATGTCCCTGCCAACCCCAAACTCTAAAACCGAAACCCCGCAAAGAGGCCCCCATGATCTTGATCCACACCCATTTGGCAGCCTCGCCCTCAATTTTGACCCCAGCCTTACACCCTAAACCCTAAAGACCCTTATACCCAAAACCCTTAAAACCTAAAAACCCTCAAAGCCGAGAACCCTAAAAGCCAGTTTTCCGTGCAGGCCCTGCAGGTGACGGCGGAGCGAAAGCAATGCCAGGAGCAGTTGATCGCCAACATCAAGGCCCAACAGGTTTTTGACTCTTGAACGCCTTTATGAGTATGTATGTGTATACATATACACAGAAGGAGTATTTGCGTCGGCAGCCCCTTGTCTAGTCTTGAGGGCAGAAGTCGGGTTCGACTGCCGGCTTAGAGGCTCCTACCCTAGATGCTCGTAGTACTTAGTTTCTACGTATACCTTGGCTTACAAGCCTACTTATAGTTTCTCTAAGCGGCCTTGTAGCAGTCACCCCAATTATAAACAGGGTTATATGCACACTCATAAGTTACTAAGTCCCTCTCCATTCGGAGGTTCCCGAAAGAGCGGTCTGCAATTCAGGGTACTAGGGTACTCAGCAGCGCACGCAATCTGAATCTGCCCTGCCCGGAGTTTCAGGCAGAGTATGCGCAGAAGCTGGCGGTGGAGCGGCAAGAGCGGCAGCAGTTTGAGGAGCGCACCCTGTACTCCCCTACTCGTACGTGCTGCTCTATTCAGAACGGGGGCCCCGAACTGGACTCCAGTACCACAGCAATCCTTCTTACAAGGACCATCGTGAGCCCACGAAAGCATCCCTAGTTCGTAGAATCTCCCCGACATGAAGGATTCTGCCAGCAGTTCTCTCCAGCCCTGCCTTTTTCGCGTGCATTGCACCACGCACCGAACAAAAGCACGGTGGCCGACACAGTGTGGTCGTAGTCAAAAGCGATTGCTGCTGTTTGTGGTCAAAGCTGGCAATCCACCGGATGAAAGCTTAATGTTAGGGGGCTTAGAAGCACGGGGAGGTTGGTTGCCCCTTTCAGTCTAACCTCTCTGTCTCCCGATGTAGTAAACAAGATGGCAAACGTACTGGTTGAAGTCTCGGAGTGGGGGTTCTTAAATCTTGAACCTAGAGAAGTTCTACAAGGCAGACCTTGCCTTTTTCAAGATCGTAATATCAGCATCATGCTGAAGTATATACAAAAAATGAAAATCAAAAGCTTCCAAAAATGGAAGCTAAAACAGATAGAAAAATGCATACGCGGGCGCAAGATTAAGATGATGTTTTGGTCGCACCTGTCCATTTCTGAAAGGACAAGTGTATCTATACAGTTCGGTCTTCAGCTATTTGTCACTCCTGTCTTGCCAAGAGGATGAGCGTGATGAAGCCTACACTGAATTTGGACCTCGTACTGGGTCATGCTTGTCCTTTCCCTTGGGCATAAATGGCCCAACGCGCCTAAACTAATGTTGAGCCATAAACTCGTGGCTTTCACGTCGGAATTGTCCAAAACACAAAAAAGTCAAAACAACAGGTCGTCAGAAGCAGCTTTTGAATTTAGTCCTTCATTTAACGATGACACCAGCCCAGGGGGTCTGGACGAGGTACTCGACGACACTTAGAGTTCTAGAGTTGGTAATACTGGGAACGAAGTTGCGAGGGAAGTGTAAGAGTGAGAGTGAGTGGGGCGGCTAGTGACCTAAACCCTGAACCCTTTACCGTTACCACGAATGGACAAAGCTTCTGCTAGCTGAAACTACGGGGTTTTTTCAGGGGGTCCTTAGGCAAAGGATTCCCCTTGTTGTTGAAGGCCCCATTTATAGAGACTCCATAGCAAGAAAATTCATATTTGAATTGGGCTTCAGGGTTTGTTTAGGAGCTTAACATCTACAGCCCAAACTCCACCTAATCCTACCAGCGTCTGGGGAATCGCCCACGCAAGGCGGCGCTGCAAAGGCAAAACACGGCACAAAGCTGAGGCCTGGCATGTTTCAGGGGTTTGTCCTAAAATCACTATAGTACGGGTCCTTGTATTTTGGTTCCTATTATAACACGGTTTCCGCCATTTTGGGAACAGTATTCTAGAAAAAACTCCCTTCAGTTGGGTTGCCAAGAGCCCTCAAGAAGGCCTCAAGAGGCCTCAAGGCGCCTCAAAAAGCTTCAAGAAAGATTCAAGAAGCCTCAAAAAACCTGCTTGAACGCAGTGACAGTCCCCAAAAAAGTATTGAAGCATACGGGACCCTTGCTATGTCTCTATGAAGGGACAGTTGCTGGGTTTGGATCGAGGCTTTGATTCAGCACCTCTCGTAGTTAAGAACCTCCTGTCCCCGGGGAGAACCTTCCAAGAGGTATACGAACCCTCGCCTAGGGTCTGCGTTTTCTGGAGGACTCCATTGGCATTGCCGACACCGCATCCGAGTCCACGGATCTGGCCATAGCCTCAGAATCCGACAGAATCACGGAAAACCAGCTGGCTATGCTAGAATTTTATCCCCCTAAGCCCCGAACCCCCAACCCCCTGTTTATTTGTGAAAGTACTTATGTGTGGGACTTCTAAAGTGCAACCTCGAGATGCTGGTGGCCTGGTTGGTAATCCGATCATCTCTCAGCCGCCCCTGGAAGAGATGTTTTCGTTTTTGCTGCTTAGAATCCTAAGAGCCATCCAAAATTCTCATTCTTGCAAGGGTCCCACGAACAGTTCATATTTGATCGCAGTTCTTTCTCACGCCTGAACAACATCTTGAACAGGCCTCGTATTCGCAGGTGCGCAAAACCTGCAAGAACGAACAGGGTCCGGACAAGTTGTGTCGCGCGGTCCATTGCCGGTGGCCTGAAACAGATGTACTGTTCTTGCAAGTGCACGTTGAAATGTAAGACCCCCCACCCACTAATAGTGACCGCAAGGGATAATGGTACATGTACTAGGGTCCCTGTGTACTTTCGTTATACCACTATAACCTTTGGCGTGTGTTTTGGAAATTGCCCGATTTTGGCAACTTGACTGCGAGACTGCGAGAAGCCCCCGAACCCTTCCAGGAGAAGCAGTCTGGCAGCTGTGGCTTGCCTTACTCCTGCGATGAGCGGCAAGGTTTCAAAGATCATCGACTTGCGTGCCTTGGAGTTAAGAGTTAAGGATTTTGGGTTTAGGGTTTGGCGCCTTGCCTTGCCCTCAACCCTTTGAAACCTTGAGCTTGCCAGGCACTGCTCTGTGCTTTGGTACGCGAACTTCTCCAAGGAAGTTGAAGCTGTCGATGTTCCTCGGCTTTTTCTAAGAAAACAAAGCGATACGCCTAGAAGATACCCCTAGTGAAACCTCGGGATATGGTAGGGATATCCTTATGATGTGTTTAGGCTTTCTTGAAGGGTATCTAGTAGGGGTATCGGCTATTTTCCTCAGACTTTTGCATGTTGGCGTGAGCATACTTCCAGGCTCGTGGGACTTGGTAACTACTTATAACTGGGCTTACAAATCCACTTCTGGTTCTTCTAAATCGCCTTTAATAGGTTACCCCAATTAAAAGAAAGGTTATAAATCTAGTTGTATAGACGTGGTTACTAAGTTCTATGAGCCTCCCAAAAAGGGTCCAGCTTGCCCAAGGCAGTGCGATTGCTTGGGGCCTCTTTGCTGCTCCGGCAGGCCGGAGATGCCCAAAGTCCTTGCATCATCCTCATATTTTGGATATTGCCTCCACTCATTAACAGTTGGATAATATCTATACTATGATTATATGGAACCCTTAATATGACCCCTATTATAAACTATTAATGCGTGGGGGCAGGGCCCAACCCATCTTCTCTAAGCCCATTAGAAGGTGGGTAGTTTCCACAGTACTCCCATAAGACCCCACCGCCTTAGAGAAGTGGTAAGGGAACCGTATAACTACCTACCTGTAATGGCCTTTGACGTTGTCCCTGTATGTTGCGCAGGCCGGTTTTTAATTGCTGAGCCGCAGCAAGTGGCTTCGCGCGCAAAGCGGAGAAGCCGAGCACAGCTATCTAGGGAATAGAAGGGTGGTCGCATGAGGAAAACTTTACTGGTTGTTAGTAGGGAATGTAGGGACTAAGCCAAGATAATCCCTTTTGAATCCCATATTTTTATTGTAGATCCTTCATTCCCTACTAACAACCAGTAAGAAACGCAAGCATGCAATCCCTGGCTCTGAAGTTTGCCTCCACCTTGGAGTATGTCACTGCGCGGCTTTGTTTTGTTACTCACTGCAGGCGTTTATGATTGTAAGAGTTTCTCAACATGAGGGTCCCCGCAATACACGCCACCACTACAAGGCTACGACCGATTGTAAGCATCACTTTAAGGACAACCCCCAAAGAAGGGACAACAAATTTTGGGAAACTCCCGCTTGAGCCTGTACTTTGTACAGAGAGGCTGCATACTCTGCAGTTTCCAAAACACAGTCGAGACCTTCAGCCCCCGGCAAAAAAATCATGGGAAGTGCTCGTCATGCGTTTTGCGAGAGCATGTATTTGCCACGTCACTGCTGGTAAACGTGCGTGATTTCTTTCAGCAGAAGGAGAGTCTTGATGCCATGCACATCACGTAGCACGTAGGTGATAGATATTAATATGCGAATGAACACTGGCTTGTATTTCGTGAGGGGTAAGTACCTACAAGCACGAAGCGCTGGACAAACGATACGTGGATGCCATGACCCAAATCCCTACCGAACATGAGCAAGTTTCTTGAACTGTTTCCCAACTCCGGAATTAGTTCGCCATAAGCCCTAAATACATTGAAGATGATTCGGCTCCCCATGTTGTCGGCACCGAATCCAGGGTGAAGGCAAACAGCCTCGAGCCTTTGCCTTCACCTTGTGTTTCGGCAGCGACGGCAGGGTGAAGGCAGAGGCTATGTGTTTTCACCTTGTGTGTTCCGCACCGTGAAAGGGAAATGAATTCAAGAATCTTAAGTACAGGTTCCATAGCGGTGTCTGGGAAATGTAAATATGTCGCGGGCTATTCTTCATAGAGAGACATCTTAAATGCTTTCACACTCCACCGCGGAGTAGACGCATCAACAAACATGGAGGCACATTCAGCAAACAATAGTCAGCAAACGCGGAGCAGGTGGTCAGCAACACCACGGACATCTTCAGCAAGCAGGCTAGCCGCAGTCAGCTGCAAGGAAGCAACGTTCAGCCAATCCCCACGCCGCTGTAGGGATTCCATATTCCACCCAATAATCTGCACGAGCAAGAAATGATTTCAAGAATGGCAAATATGAGTTCCGTAACGGCTTCTGTTGAATACATATATCGCCTCCTTTTCTTTATGGGCAGTGTTCAAGTACTTCCGCACTCCACTACAGTTTCTGTATTTCATGAAAAATAGCTGCGAAAGCTGGAAGCAAATTCTCAAGAACAGCACCTATTACACTCTCTCCCCAGTCCTGGAGAGGGATTACGTTCCGAATAGCTGCACTGCGTTCCCATTAAATTACGTTTTGCGAGTAGCTCGAGTAAGAGCGTCCACCTGCAGGTTACAGGGCTGTTGGGGCTCGGTACCGACGACGTCTCCGGATGTGATGTTGCTCTGGGCTAAAGTCCCAGTCAAGCCGCAGCCACATGGGGATGGTCCGAAAATGGCTGTAGTGCGGGTCCCTATGGAGGTTTCCGCCATTTTGGGAACAGGAATCTGGGCAAACATCCACATACCTCCACCCGCCGCTTCGAACTTCGGACTTGGCGGGGCCTTGTGTGATCAATGGCTCGTTCACACCGTACACCTCCCGCACACCTCCCGCCTACCTCCCGCCTACCTCCCGGACTCCTCCGACACACCTCCCGCATACCCCCCGCATACTGTACCTCCCCAGAACACCTCCCCCGCACACACGAATGCCACGCTTCAATTCGGTTTTCTGTAAAACGGGTCTGTTCGGTTTGCGTGTTTATGGATCTATTCCGGTTCGGCTCGGGGCGTCTATTCGTTTTGCAATTCCGGTTCAGGCCGGTCATCTACAGGAGGGTTGCCGCAGGATAGGCCGAACTGTTTGTTTACAATTGCAAAAATCATCCAACACTGGGTTTTCCCCCGCCTCCCACCACCCGCCTGCCGCGCCTGCCGTAGCTCCCGCCTCCTGCCCACAGGGCGTGTCCGTTTGGGCGGTCCGGTCTGGAGGCCTTGGACAAAATCACTTGGGAAAACCTAAACCCAGCATTGTCTTGATGCCGACACATGCTCTCGATGCTACAAAAGCCTGCTCTTGATGCCGCCTAGGCTTTGAAGGTTGCGGTTGCAGGATGGGGTGGTTTGTTCGATTTGGGGGTTTAGGCTGTAGTTTAGGATACCTGCCTAGGTCCTGCGTTGTTCTGGGGGGAACCAGGTGGGGTTAGACCGCCGTATTTTGTGGACATTGGGCCAAGGTTTAGGAATGTGCCCAGGTTTCCAGGTTTTAGGGGAAACCCGGGCGCGTCGGGTTTAGGGCCCAGCCCAGCACTAGGCGAGTTCAAAATTGAACTTCCCCTTTGTCAAGGTTTAGGGCAGGTAGGGTGGTAGTACCCCTTCCATTGTTGATGTTAATTTTGCTTTCTTTGCCCTTCCGCTGGGTTCTGCGCTGGCCAGAATCCTTTCTTGTTGTGTAGAGAAACGCGGTGTCAGCAACATCCAATTATGCCTGAAATCCCTGCAGGATGCTGGCCCAATGATTTTTTGGACCCCTGAACTAATCTTTCTCCCGCACGTGATGATTTGGATTTCGATTCGAGTTCTTCGGTTTTGTTCGTGCGGTTCCTTGACATTTTTCGGCTCGCTCGCTGTAGCTCGATTTTTTGTTCTTGCTGTTCCGGTTCGTGCGGTTCCGGTGCGGTTAGTTCGCAGCGCGGGAGTATCACTGATGGATGCAAGGATTAGCGCCCGGACTCCCCCCGCGTTAACACAGAACTGTCAATCCTACGGGGCATCGGGCTGGAGCTGCACCGGTACTACCAGGCTTCGGGTTTAGGGCTTAGGATTTAGGGTTAG